ACACAGTAAATATGAAAAATCAATTTTACAATGAAGCCATTATTTCGACTAGAAATGCTAGAATAATAAAGCCAAGAACAAATGAACAAGCAAAAATGTGAAGCCATGTAAAAACAGTTTAAACACAAGCATAACCAACCTCCAATCTAAAGAACCAGACATTGCAGTGCACTGCTAAAAATTTAGAGCAATGTGCCAAGTGATCAGCGTGAAGCATAAGCGAAGTTGCACGTGTGAAAGCAAACTAGCTGAAGCATGAAAAATGATATTGGTTTTGGTGAGTGCTTGTGCCAGTCCATTCCGTAGCTTTACCAAATCATTCAACAATGAGAAGTGCATGATGTGATGCGTCTTCTACACCAATGCCTTTTACTGCGATTCGGTCTGATGTCCCCGACCCTGATTATCATTTATGACTGAACTGCATTTAGAGACCTGTCTCAGCAAGGCTGTAACCCTATGTGAAAAGCAAACCAGAAAAAAGTAAAGTACAAGCTGTAAATGGAAACCAGAAAAGAAGACCATGCCCAAGAGTCACTTAGCTCGCTGGAAGTGGTCCAATGAAAGTTATGTACATATGGTTGTCTTTTTAACCTAAATGTAACTTAATCAATCATAGAGTAGTACACAGCAGTGACGATTCAAACAATACGAATAAGTTCACAAGAAAAAAGCATGTTAGTTAAGGTGTACCCATCAAGGTTTGCCACATTTTAATTTGGGCAACATGTTGAAGGAACACTGACTAACTGGGAGGAAAACGCAGAAAGCGAGTCTACTGGTGCTCACTGGTGTAACATCCCAAATAACGCAAGGTGATCTCAACTACCATGCAGACCACTTATAACGTAACCGCTTTTAGCGTGGGGCTGGTTATTACGTGAGTTTTCTGATCTCCGATATGTCGCCCATAGAACTCAATGCATAGGCAGACCGTTTATTTTGTAGACGCGCGGAGGAGAATACTGGTTGTAACGCAGACTTTTTGGGTGTGCGACCATAAAATCAGCGAACAGAGCCAACTTTCCTGCTGCAGTTAGCCACCATACTGCGATGGCACGTTCTGAGTGGGAGCAGACGGGAGTGCTTGAGTAAAGGCCAGCAGCCAGCCGCGAAAAGGCAAACATGCGGAGGAGAAGAGAGGATGCAGTCAGTAGGAAGGAAGAGAGACCTTGAAAAAGGGAGGGAGCACAGTTTTCGGAGTGCGAGACAGAAGTGGCGATTATGGCAGCGTACTTTGTTTTTCTTCTCAGTGCTTGTCTTTTGCCTTGTTGCATTTGTCGTGTGCGCTCCTCTGTTTATCCTAGTAGCTGCGTGACAATGCCGCCGATGAGACTGTCAACACTGATGACGTGTGGTTCGGCCTTGTTGACAGCAAGTTCGCAACTGCCACCGACACTTTTCGAGAATTCGTCAATGCCGGGGAATCAGAGCTACCTTTTTGCGATGAAGTAAGCTCAGATGACTTGATCGTCGCAGCAGTGCAGGGTAGTGCGGAGGTTGCAACTCACGACGAGTCAGACGGTAAGGACGACGATGACCCGATGCCAGAACTCGATCTCCCGTGTAAAGACACATTAGAATACCTCACAAAAGTGAAAAGATACTGCACAAAGAACCATTTGAGCGAGAAATCACTTCAGGAATCGAACTTTATCGAGGACGAAATTGTGCGAAGCACTTGTTCTCAAGTATCACCAGACAAAAATAATGGCATTGTTGCACGTTATGCCGGACTTGGGAGCTTGCTGCTGTGTTGTGACCTGTGTTGAAATGTATACACGAGTGAGAAGTATAATAAATTGCTTTTGAAAGGTGGGTTGCCCTTATGCATTGGCAAAAGCTGAAAAAAAAACATGTTTTTAGTTATAACGCAACACCGCTTATAGCGCGGATTTTCACAACTCCCATGACTTACGTTTTCACAACTCCCATGACTTAGGTTATAAGCAGTCTACACTGTAGTTTCTCAACAAGTACACTGAAACCTCATTACAACAAAGTACCTTCTTACACGAAACTAAGTTTGTTATACCCAAAAGTTTGTTAGAAAGATATATTCCTCATATTATATCTATTCAAAGACTTGTCCACACTTACTTTGTTATAACTGATATTTGGTTATATCTGAGTTCGTTACATTGAGGTTTGAGTGTACCTTCTTTGTCGCAAGCCTACAGGCTACATTGCCCAAGACTGTTAGGCTGACTATATATATAGGCCGTCTGGATCTTTGGCTTAAATTGCAGTGCACTCCAGAATGAAAATAAGTGCCACACTGGCCATCTACACCTCTGAATTCTCGTAATCACAATAACAACCACACCACACAGCCAAACAACTCACATGCGAGCGAGCAGAGAAGCTCATATGCTTCGTATTATACACAGCCTTCAGAATATGCTGCAGCATTCCCCTATCTAACATCACAGGGAAGCCCTTTTCAAGCTTGATGTGAAAACTGCCATTAGCTTATTACCTTCACCTTCTACCCTACCAAGCTGAATTTTCACTAAACAATCTGGTGCTTGTTGCACCTTCTCCTATTTTGCTGAAGTTACATTTTATACTGCGCCACACTACTTTGTCTAGCTATGCACCAACTCTCCAATATAATACATCCTCTGCCAACATTTTGCATTTTGCAAAAGTGGGAAAACTTTTACACTTCGGGACATCTGCGTCATGGGGAAGACTAGTCGCCTGGTCTAAATATCGGTTAAGCAACATTACTTGTTCGACTGCTTCTATCATTAACTGCTACCTTTAAATTTGAGCTTTGTGAATATGCCTCAAGTTCACAGTTTTTTTTTTTCATGACATACATGTACAACTGCCTTTTGTACACTGCAGTACAATGCTATTCCCACTGACCATGTAACGAGTTGTTATGGGTTTTGCCCCAAAAGCAACTGTACAGTTTACCTTGGTTTGAACACGACATGAAGGGGAAGCTCAAGAGCTTAACAAAGGGTTTGGGATATTGCTCATCACAGTAATATTGCTCATCACAAAGAAAGCAGAGAAAACATTACTTTCTATGTTGCAACTGCATTATGTTGCCTATTAAGCTACGCATTTAACGATTAAAGCATGGTCATCCCTTCATGCAATTTTTTCGCCATTAGTGTCGTCCTAGAAGTTTAAGCCAGACCTACAGTGACCATGGTAACGAATTTTAAATGTTGTGTGACTGGTACCTGTTTCCCCTTTTTATATGGTTGTAACCAAATTGAAAATTAAAATAATTTTGTTCCATAATAAGTTCATAAAGTACGTAATGAATATTGGGTGGTGCATCTTAAATTGTTCCCAAACTGAAAAAAAAAAAATCTTTCGGGAAGTAACTGCCACATTAGCGATGTTCCTCATTGCAGCTTTTTTAAATCAATTTTACAATTCAGATGTCGATGTATTGATTGAGCACTAGAGTTTAGAAAACCTCGGCAACAAGAAATTTAACGTTCAGCATAGGACATGACCTAGACGATTATTTTTGCTATGAGGTATCATTACACCAACTGTTGCACATATTATTGCTGGCTTGGATTCACATAGCAAGAATATATACAGAACACTGCATTTTTTAACGAAACATGCCATATTTGGGATATGAAACATTATCATTACCTTAACAAAAAGGAAATACTTCTGTAGAGGCCATTAAAAATAAATGTCATATTCAGAACAGCCTTGCATTTACTGTGTTGTATAGTTTATTCTCTTTTCCACCATTGCTTCTTTCTTCATTATTATTTATCTATTCACAATCATTTCACTATACCATGTTTAACCACTATCTACCAAACATAAAAATCTGGGGACATAGCCAAAGCTAATAATGATAATCATAACACTGACAACAAGAAATATGAAGTTTTTGTGCCTAAAATGTACAGTAAACCCTCGTTAACTCGAACTCGCATATCTCGAAATCTCGGTTAAGTCGAAACTTTTTTCGCCGTGCATTAACCTCCCATAGGTGCTATGTATTTGCCCCCTCTTATCTCGAAACGTTTTCCGGAGGGAACAGTGGATATCTCGAAATCTTGACAGGGAGGGCAGAAGGCAAAGTCTACTCCCAACAGGAAACGAGGGCTCCGTGCAAACTTAGCTCTTACTATACGTGCCGAACGCAGTCAGGAAGGGCGAATTTGAAATTCCCGCGGACGCAGCCGTTTCCTATCAGCCTTGTCAGGCAACTGTGGGAGTGATCACGTGTGCGCACCTGCGCGCGACTTATGCGCGGTGGGCGGCGTGTGCAGCATGCGCCCGTCAGTACGCAACCTAGCCCTTGCATGTGCGAGCTGGTATTCTTTGTTTTCCTCGCGATCTGTGCACGACGCATCTTGAGCTCAGTTTTGCTGAGTAGTGAGTGGTCTGTGCAACGGACGCTTCCGAATATCGACCATTGGCGCAGAATTCAGCGGCTGTGATGAGCTGTGCAATGAAGTGCGCAAGGCAACTGGCTGCGTGAGCGATACTGAAGACGGCGAGATCGCCTTTGAGGAGTATGCGCTCTACGAGGCCGACATCCCTGTTACCGGAATGCTGTCGGACGCCGATATCGTTGAGATGGCCGTGAACGACGCAGATGACCATGCAGATGAGGAAGAGCCTCGAAAAGTGCCTACGACGACAGAAACACGTAACATGCTGTGCTTGCTCCGCAACAAGGTCGAATGCAGCGGTGGCGACCAACGGCTCATGCGATGTGTTGAGCAACTGGAGAACGCCTTTCTCGGACCGAACGCTAAAGCGAAACAGGCGAGCATCACGCAATTTTTTGGCCCTCGGTAATAAATTTTTTTCCCCTCCGAATTCTTGTGCCTTTACTACGGTAGCTGTCTTGTGCAGTGGAGCTTTTCCTAGCAGCACTCGCTTTTCTTTTACAGTGACTTGGGCGAACATTTTCGGCATTTTGCTTAACTCGAAATACCGCCTATCTCGAAATTTTTCCCGGATTTGATGGCTTCGAGTTAACGAGGGATTACTGTAATATGATCATGAGGCAAGCAGTAGTGGTGGGCTCTGAATTATATTTAACCAACTGAGGTTCTTCTATGCACACTTTGCTGCCATAAAAAATGTGCTTACCATGACTGGCTATCAAAATCGACCTGAGCAGCATGACACTTTACCTCCTATATTCTACCCCGGCAGGTTGAGTGTAACTCATGATTGCAATCACCATATGAGCTGCTAGATGAGACAGATTTCTTAGAGGTATTGTGGTGAAAAAAAAATAATAATAATTGTGCACAGCCTTCACATCAACATGGATCTGGTACAAATCCGGAAATACTAGTTTGGTGCTTCCTTTCAATGGTGTACACAGTAGTGCATCTGAGAGTAGCCTCTGCCAACAAGCAGAAATGCTGCCACCATTATGAGTGAGCTGTGCCTTTCCTTTTCGGTGCAGACTGGTGTGGCTGCGCGAGATGGGCATCATGGATCGCTGGATTGCCCAGATGCTGGGCAACTGGGACCACTGCCGCCGTGACGGCAACCGGGTCACTCTGACCTTCGAAGACACCTACGCCATTTTCGTGATGTGGGCTCTGCTGGTCACTACCTCCCTGGCAGTCTTCGGCTTTGAGAAGCTCCGCTACGCCTGTGACACCCGAAAAATCCGCCTGCGTTGATCAACAATCAGGACATTCCTTTAGAACACAGAGTCGCCTAGAGAAATGACTAGAGTAAACTCCGAAATGCAATTACTCAGCTAGGCTAAGTAAGAATTTATGATAGACATGAGTAATCAGATGCTTGCGTCTGTGGCTTCAAATAGTTTTCGGGCATTACTCATTGCACTAAATTTTCTAAATTTTAAAGACTGTGCTTTTCCTAACGAATGAGACCAATAAAGCCCTGTGCACACACACAATCAGCCTAAATTGGTAGAGTTGCAGCTTAATATTTACTAGCAAAGGCCAATACAGTGGGCAAAATCACAGTCAACGGAGGCTGTGCCACAGTGAGATGCCCTCTAGGCAGAGTGCCACCTCGATCTTCTCCCCCATACATTGTTAGACCCTACATGTCCAGAGTTGATGTCTGCAAGCATTCTTTCTAGGTCAAAACAATTGAGGACTGGAATAAACTAAGCTCGAAAATATTTAATGGTGCAAATTCGCTTGCGAGTTTCAAAGAGAAACTTCAGTCCCTTAATGTATAATGTCAAGATTTTTACTATGTATAATTGCACTGCTGTTGTTTTGTATATATTTTGATGCACTGTTTTATTTGTTTTAGTGTTTTTAGTTTGCATTGTGCTGTTTGTGCTATGCAGTTTGCATGTGCTCTTTTTGCATTGTAAACTGTCCCACCCTGTAACAGCTCGACGAGGCTCACAGTAACGAAAATAAATAAATAAATAATTCAAGTTAAAAAGATAAACTTTGCAAACATTTGTTCAGTAAGTACCAACACCACCAGTTTTGAGCCCTCTAAACAGCCCAACGTTCAGATTACACAACAAGGGGGGATAATGTTCCCTGAAGTTGTTATTCTAGGATACCTTGTGGAACTGATTACAAATGAACTTAAAGCCTTTTCTAAACAGTGAAAAAAGGATGTCAAGTACAAGTGAACGTGGCTTATAAATGTCCCCCTTTGTGAACAGAAAGAACGTGGGTATTCTGGATCTATATGCAGAGCTTTTGCAGACGTTACAGGCATCATAGATACTAGTAAACAGATGCCACCTCCACTTTCTGGTACACCCTAAAGCTGTACACCTTATTATAGTACACTTCTTTCGGTAAATACTGTAATCTCAGCAGTTCTATCAGTAAAAAAACAACAAAGCTTGTGGATCGGAACTCGACGTACTGTAACGTGGTGCAAGTAGTAAGAACAGCGTGACACTTCTTGATGTTGTGTGAAGAAATGGTGGTCAAATCAGTAAACAATACAAGAAAAGACAAGCAGATCCATAAGAGTCTCAGAGATGAAGCAAAGAAGTCCACCAGCCCTGCAAGTAAAACGCTCTTATACCTGCATTGGTCCAGAAGTAGAAGAATTTACACAAGCATCACATTGCCTCAGCTGTTCGGTGACGACAAAAGTGTTTTTCGCAAGCGCTGGATAAGCAACACAGCTGCCAAACATTTCCAGCATCCTCCAAAGTGATTAAAAAATAAAGCATATTCTGTACTAACTGTACACATGTTAGATTTTCATAACATTGACTTCACAGACTGAAATCGTTAAGAAAAAACGTCACCCAAATTCTGTTCTAAAGAATGCAGAGGAAAAAAATTTGGGCCCTCATGCCTGGTGTAAAGTCTGTGGCTGCCTCACGTAAGAATACTGAAAAAGACAACAAACTATCAATTGGACCCTATGCCACCATTAATTTTCAGTTATCCAGTGATTCAATTATAGTACCAGTTTGAAATACTAAAACATGAATGCTAACACACAGAATAAGCGAGCAAATAACAAGGAGCGATCTAGAGGTCAATGAAAAACAGTCCAACTCACCAGCAGACAGTGGCATCTTCAGATGATGCAGGCGTTGTCCGATCGGCAAGATTTTCGGTTGCTCCGCTGTAAATGAATTAAGAGAGATGGCGCACATCAGCAACATACTTCTAGGAGCAACTATGTTGACTGCGCATAAAAAAAATTCAAGAGCTCACAATTTAAAAAAAAGCAAATATTGGCATTCACACTCAACGCCATCTTACACAATTTGCTTTCATCAAATAGCCATAAGTGACAGCTGATTATACTGCAAGCAATGCATTGTTGCAACATTTTCAGCACCGTCCTCAATCCTTCTTCACTTATACATATGTAGCTCAGCAATGTAATCTTAGTAATAAGACACCTTGCTGATAAAACTAGTGTGTTTGTACAGTATAGTCTTTCATTTTCTTGAGCAACTTTGCGGCCTGCATCTCTATATTTTTTTGGCCCCATTTTTCAAGAAGTTGAAGCAGCTGAAGCCATGCTCTTCAGCATTCGTGCAGAAGCATCAGACTTGTGCAAGTGCAGCCATCACCTTAGAGCATGTGAGCACAAGAGACTAGCTGTTTCTCACACCACACCTGTTTTCACTTGCAATCAGTTTTTGTCCTCAAGTTCACTTGTTGGTACAGCCTCATCACTTACGCTCTCAAACTTATCAATCGTTGATCTTTCAACAGCCTCCGAAAATTTTGAGAGTTCGCTATAAACTTTAGAATCGGCAATGGCTTCATTTTAGTCATAAAAATTTTCGCACTCCCGCACTCGCAATCAGGGTATGCAGAAGCCTAAGCAGTCTAGGATGGTTGGTTTTCTTAAATATCTAGCTAGCGCCCACGCACCGCAGAGAGGGCCGCGTCAATAAATGTCGAGCTTCCTGTTGACACAGGTCCTCCAGTTGTCTCTTTACTATGAGCCTTCAATGACCAGGCTTTCAGTGAGTGTATAGGTTATTCCTAACCAGCAAGTGCAGTATCAATAGGACATTGGGAAAACAGAGTGCTCAACTTCGCATTTCTCGAGCTCGTACCACCACAATGCCACAGTCAATTGTCCATGAGCCGGCTTACTTTGCAACCTTTGCCTACCAAGACATCGTTCAGCAATGATAACCACTCTCTGGAAATGTCCTTCTGTCATCCAAGCTGTTGTATTTGTTTTGTGTGGAATCACTAGGAAGGGGCAGTACAGTCCAAAGGCATCGTGGTGACTTGTTTTTGTCAATTACTGGGGGTCGAAGCTTAGTCTGTTCAAGACGTCGACAGCATGAACATGCGAGTGTCTTATTTAGGATTGTTTGCCAGAACAGCGGTTTAGTCTGCATTCATATTTTCAAGTTATTATTTTGCTATAATATCTGGCCCAATTTTCCTGCACTATTTGGTCAACCCTGAGCAAAGCTCAACTTTCAATGGAAACCACATTGCTGCTTCATATTGCTCATGAAATCATTGAAGGACACTAATCACCTTGAAGGTCTTGCCTACCAAGGATAAAAGCTGCGTCCTTCACTTTGTGGTCAATCATGAATGGGGCTGGAGACCTGGACGTCGCATGACTGAAAATCTACAAACCCCTTGCACACAGCACGTCATTGTATTCACACAAGGCAATCCATCTGTGCTGTGAGCCGTGAGCACCAAATCTTTTGTCTGCCAAAGTGCCGACTTCAACCACACTCTTGGTATGTGCTTTGGGGAATCTAATAAGCTGTGGCAATATCTAACTTCTTCTCACTGTGTTTGACTTATTTCAATCTTCATAGTTAATTGCAATTTCTGCTGCTTTACAACAGGCATCGTGACAACATTGCAAAAAGCGATAACCAGACGGCTCACAAGGGACAAGTCTAACGTGTGGAGAGAGGGCAACAGGGCAGCATGCAGGCTTTTACAATGAGCGCGAGAACGCCTCTGAACGTGTTGTTGGGCTGGTTAGTTCATAGTGAAGAAATATTGTCATGGAGTTGTGACGCTGACAAAGGTAGAGACAACTTGTACAAACGAAAAGTGTTTACTTAATTGGCCAAACCTGTGGCCATGTAAAAGAAAAGTCAGATTACAGCAAGACACTGGCACTGATAGCAGCGGGCAGAGCGTCGGCCATCGATCAACTGACAAGCGGCGAAGTGTGTCGGCATTTATACACTTGTCATCGAACATTCTAGTGTTATCGCTAGCGGCGACGTAGGTTCCAGAAAAATCCGAAAGTTCCATGAAGTGGGTGTAATCTTAACAAAATGATCTACTACAGCCTCGAAGCTTCTCCAACACCGTAGGTGCGGTTTGCGCTGAACATAGTGTAAGGGGGCGATAACAAAACTTGAGGAAAGGAACGTGGCATTGCCTTCCTCTGAAAAAAGGCATTGTCTTGATGCTTTAACAAAAGATTAAAGTACAAAAATAATGGAAGAAAGTACAAGCAATAAACTACAATAGAGCAATAACAACAACAAAACACACTGTTTCAGCTCGTTAACGCGTATAAAACGGCTTGAGACGCGTGACATGTATGAGTTCAGGTCGCGATCAGTGCCATTAAGAGTTCTTAATGTCGTCGGGGACAACCACAAAGTCGAGTGGGCCGAGACCTCGTACTACCCTGTATGGACCAAAGTATCATCGCAAAAGTTTTTCACTGTGTCTACGTCGGCGTATCGGCGTCCATACCCAAACATGTTTACTGGGCTGGTATTCTACGAAGCGTCGTCGAAGATTGTAACGGCAGCTATCTGTCATCTGTTGGTTCTTGATGCGGAGGCGGGCGAGTTGACAGGCCTCTTCTGGGCGCTGATAGTACTCGATCACATCGAGATTTTCTTCGACGACAACGTTGGGTAACATGGCATCGAGCGTCGTTGCCGGGGTCCTCTCGTAGACCAGTTTGTACGGCATCATTTGCATTGTTTTTTGAACGGCGGTGTTGCATGCGAAGGTCACGTACATAAGGACGGCATCCCACATCTTGTGTTCGACTTTGACGTACATGGCCAGCATGTCGGCGATGGTCTTATTAAGATGCTCGGTAAGGCTATTGGTCTGTGGATGATAGGCGGTGCTCCGGTGGTGACTTGTCTGGCTATACATCAAAATCCTGTGTTAGCTCCGCCATAAAGGCCGTGCCTCTCTCAGAACTGAGGACCTGTGGGGCTTCGTGACGCAAGACAATGCTTTCATCGAAGATTTTCGCTACATTGATGGCACTGTCTTTGGGCAGGGCCCTTGTCTTGGTGTAGCACTTGAGGTAGTCGGTAGCCACGACGATCCATTTGTTCCTGCAATTCGACGTCGGGAATGGCCCCAATAAGTCCATGCCGATTTGCTGGAACGGCCAGTGGGGTGGCTCGATGGGCTGGAGAAGCCTGGCTAGCCTAGTCGGCAGTGTCTTTCATCGTTGGCCGTCTCGGCATGTCTTCACATAACGAGTGACGTCGGCGGAAAGGCGTGGTCAGCAATACGTTTTCTGTATTCTTGCAAGCTTACGGGAAACAACGAGGTGTCCAGCCGTCAGGTCGTCGTGTAGAGCATTCAATATTTCTGGACATAACGCTGAAGGTACTATGACGAGGTAGCGAGAAGTTTTTCTTCAGGAGAACGTCGTTCTGCAAGAAAAAGTATTCAACTCCTCGTTTGAATACTTTTAGAACAATGGCGGCCTTGCCCTCGAGGTATTCTACAAGGCTCCAGAGTTCCGTGTCAGCTTACGGTCGCTCGACGAAGTCGTTGGCACTTATGGTTCCTAGAAAACAGTCATCGTCAGGGTCGTCCTTCGCATTGGTTCGATGGGGGCACGTGACGGACAGTCGGCGTCAGGATCTTTTCTTCCAGACTTGTGAACGATAGTAACGTCGAATTCCTGAAGTCTCATGCTCCACCGTGCGAGGTGACCTGATGGGCCTTTCAAGTTAGCTAGCCAACATAAGGCGTGGTGGTCGCTCACAACTTTGAAAGGCCTGTCATAAAGATAAGGGCAGAACTTCGATATAGCCCAGATAATTGCAAGGCACTTCTTTTCTGTTGTTGAATAGTTGACCTCTGCCTTTGATAGCGACCGGGTAGCTAACTGATGACCATTTCTAGTCTGTTAGTCTTCTGCACAAAAACGGCTCCGAGACTTACATTGCTTGTGTCGGTGTGTATTTTTTGTATTTTTGTTTCAGCGAATTGGTCGAAAAATGCAAGTAGCGGAGGCGACTGCAGGCGTTGTTTTAGTTTCTGAAATGCGTCCTCTTGCGGACTTTCCCACTTAAACTCCACGTCAGTCCTGGTAAGGGTAGTGAGTGCCTCTGCAATGTGGGAGAAGTTTTTGACGAACCGCCTGTAATAGGCATATTAGGCTAAGAAATTGACGCACGGCCTCCTCGTCGGTAGGCGGTGGGAAGTTTGCAATGGAAGCCGTTTTCTGCGAGTTGGGGCGAATGCCGGACTTGCTGATGACGTGTCCCAGGAACAAGAGTTCCTCATATGCAAAGTGGCACTTTTTGACCTTCAGGGTGAATCCGGAGTTCTTGATAGCTTGCAGTAAGCTTCAAGGCGTTGGAGGTGTTTGTCGAAGTTTCAGGAAAACACCACGACGTCGTCCAGGTACACAAGGCAAGTCTGCCACTTTAAGCCGGCCAGTACTGAACCCATAACGCATAGGAAAGTCGCGGGTGCCGAGCAAAGACCAATAGGCATAACCTTGAACACGATTAGGCCATCGGTGTAATAAAAGCAGTTTTTTTTTGATCTCTCTCATCAACTTCAATCTGCCAATAGCCAGTCTTGAGGTCCATTAAAGAAACGTACCTCGCATTGTTAAGTCTATCTAGGGTGTCGTCTATCCAGGGGAGAGGGTACACGTCCTTCTTCGTGATTTTGTTCAGGCGGCGATAGTTGAGGCAGAAGCATAGGGTTCCGTCCTTCTTTTTGACTAACACAACGGGTGACGCCCATGCACTCTTTGAAGGCTGGATGATGACGTCACGTAGGATTTCATCGACTTGCTTCTTCATGGCATCGTGTTCTCGCGCCGACACTCTGTACGGCTCTGACGGTGTGGCCTGGCACTCTCTTCTGTAAGGATCTGACGTATTGCGA